TGAAGTAACGAAACCGGGGGTGTTCGCGATGCCCCACTCAATCAATTTATTCAAAATTTTGATTTCTGGAAAGTAAATCACGTCCAGCCTTAATAAACACAACAATAATTCTTCATCAATCGATGAAAATGCTGGGGAATCGAATAAAATCGACGGCCTCTCTACGAAGATTTCTTGACAATATGAATAGAGATCTTGAAGGAGCGGAATTCGATAAGAGGTTTTTAATATGGAAACAATATCTTCATCACGCCATTCCTTATTCTTATCCTTCTTTTGATCCAATTTGGATCTTAAAATGTCGAAAAATCCATGGAGAAGTAGGATGTCAGATACCAACATCAATTCCATCAAAAGATCCGTATCCGGATTGTACAAAACGATTGTTCCGCTACAGATACCGCTATGAATTTCAAAATCATGGTAATCATAATTAATGCATGCATTTTTTTTTTAATTCCCTCGCGAATGAAACCTTACTTTAAGATTATCTTGAAGGCATCGGATGAAACGTCCAATCGAAGCCTATACTTATCATCAACCTTTGTAGCCCATTTTTCTGATAAAGCGACCTTGAAATATTCGCATCTTTTGCGAAGCACGTTCGAATGCGCGTCGAAAATCTTGATATCGTTGGATGTTTTATCGTCGATTTCTATGAGAGTATCATGAGAATCGTTAGTCGCAGAAGATTCCAAGGAATCTGTAGATAGCTCTGGCAAGCGATAGGAAATCATTTAAGCATTTGATAAATTGAAAATCGAACAAGAATTTGACATTTGTTTGTATTATCATTCTTATATATACAGTATGTTTAACCTACTGATATCCGTGTCAGGTCATATCATAGTTATTTGACGCACAATTTTTTGTTGCACGAACTTTAATTCCTTGTTCATTATAAAATTTCCATTATCGGTGAGTGTCAAAGGAAATAAAGAGATTTAATATTTATTTTTTAATATTTTTTATTTAACTTCATTATCAGTCCATAATTGGCAAATCAATACCTGGTAATAAAAAATACATATTTAGAATAGTTTATAATAGTGGTACT